TTTTTTTAGTATCAGTGTGATTAGAAATGAAATTATAAGCATTAGATGCTTCACTGATAGAGTTATATTCACAAAGATAATCATTACCATCTTGAGTAATTGCTCTTACTTTTCCAAAGAAACTAAAATAATGAAGAACAGACTCAAAAGTAGTGTTTAATAAATGTTTTAATCGGATAAAATTCAAAGGTAAATTTGAGATGATTTGATAACCAAATTGAACATATAAATATCTTCCACAGAATTGTTTTGAATGAACTTTATGAAAACACACAATAGAATCACTTACTGAATTAAATTGAACAACGACAAAATGAAGATGAAGACAAGTGAAATCAGTAGAAGTAATTTTGATATCAGAAGGGAATAATAATAAAAATTGTGATTTATCGAATATTTTAGGGACATTATAAACAATTAAATGAAGAGTAGGATAATCTAATGAAGGATGTAATTCCAAGAATTCTTTAACTAATTGATGAGCCATGAATGTAAATTAAATCAATACATTCAATTTAAAAAGTTAATTTTTTAATAATAATAAATTGATTCTTAAATAATATAATTTTTATTATAATTTCTTTTATTTGAAATAAATAACAAAAAATAATTTAAAAAAGATTTAATGATGGAAAAATGTTACTTAAAATGTTTAGCAAGCAACAAAAACGTGATTGTAACGGCAAATTGATGGTCCTTTTTCTTCATATTCTGCCTTAGAATGACAGTGTTGAACAAAAACTGGAAGTTCTGCCATAACAGAACCACCATACCAAACAGCATATCGTTGATATGGATATGAAACTACATTAACTTCCATTGGTTTTGGTGTTAATTTACCACCAGACAATTGAACAGCTTTTTGAGTACGGAAATCTGTAAATCTTCTAACATCTCTTTGTAATCTATGTCCAAAACCTTTAAACATAGTAGAACCACCTGATAAAATAATATTCTTATAAAGATCTCTTCTACAATCAATTGGACATGATTGAATAGAATCATCAACAAGATCTGCTAATGGTGTAGTAAAATCTGATGAGAAAATTTCTGGATTAAAGAATAATTCTGGTGCAAGGAATTGTTCATATCCAACATCAAATGTATATGGTTTCTTTGAAATTGGATCAATGGCTTGATGTTTCTTAAATGATGATTTTGGATCATTTCCTGAATCCATAATACTAAATTCTTTACACATGTCTTTAGAAACAAATGAATAATTTTCTTTAATTGTTCTTGCCATTTCCATACGTTCAGATGCTGGAATTGGTTCTTCTCTTTCAACAAGCATTTGTTGAATAAATGCTGTAATATCTTTTCCAGCTAATGGAATGCTTTTAATTGATGATCCAATAACATATCCATCAGCAACAGGAATAATATGAGTAACTCCATCTCCTGAATCAATAACTGTACCAGTTAATCTTGCATTTGCTGGATTATTATCTTTTCTAGACCATGATGCAACAATAGCTAAAACTGCTTGAACTGCAATATACATTCCTGGAACATTAAATGTTTCAAAAAAGACTTCAGCTAAATATTCACGATTTTCTGGTGGGTTCATTGGTGGTTCAGTTAAAAGGAAATAATGGTCTTGTGGATCACATCGAAGGTATTTAAAAATGGCTTGTTCCCAATACATTTCCATTAAAGTCCAATTTTCGATTTGTCCATGTTTTAATGGGAATGTTTTTGTATATGATTTTGGTGCATTTTCAGCTTCTTGTCCAATATAAAAATCAAAATCTTCTGTAGATTTTGTTGCTGTGTTTAAATCTGCTTTTGAATCAACTGCAATTAATGATGGAATTAAATAACTTGGCTCTGTATTTCCTGCATATCCTATTTTTGTATATCCCGTACCGTTATCAAGAACTACTGCTGGAAGTGTTGACATTTCTCTTGTGTTAATTTTTTGAAGTTCTAGTTCGACTTTAATTGTTTTTTTAGTTCTTTCGCTGCTTTTCTTCTATTTTTTAGTTCCTTTTTTCTTTATTTTCTTCTTTATTTTTTTGTTATTTATATTATTTTTTGTTTTTCTTTTATTAAATTTTTGTTAAATATCTTTTTGAATAAATAATCAATAACAAAAATTAAATTCAATTTATGTTGTTTATAACATTTGTAGAACAATAACTCGTTCTGTATGAAATGGTTGTGGAAACATACACCCAATTAATTCATTGTCTTTAATCTTTTCATAACTCCTTGATAAATTCTTACAATATCCTTTTTTAGATGTTGGTTTGTGAACATAAACTCTAGAAGCTCCATATCCAAAATCAAATAAACAAGGGTCATCCATTTCATGAAGTTGTATAGAACCTCTTTTTCCATTAATTAATTCAAATTTCTGTGGGTCTTGAATTCTTCCATTAGAATTTAGTGTGAAAATGAAATTATGACAACTTTTATTCTTTTCAAAGTCAGGAGAATTAATATCTAATGTTGTGATTGGAAGTTCACAATATGTTCCATAGACATTTCCGTAATCTCCAAAACAAATAAATATTAAATGAGGGATGTTCATAATAGTTTTATTAAATCTTAAGTTAGAAATGCCATTTACAGCAGTGTCGAAGATTTTTTTATATCCGCAATGTCTATTTGTCCATTGTGCAAAATATTTACTATGTCTAACAACCATTTCTTGTTGTTCATCAGTCATTAGTCTTAAAAGTAATTGACTTATTAGTGTGGACTTTCTATTGCGAATATTGAGAATGAAGAACCTTCTTGTTGTAATGGAACTTTCTAATGAATCTTTTTCTTATTCTTACTCTTTCCAAATATAGCAATAATCTAAGATGTTATAACTATTCAACAGCAAAGAATTTAATTTTATTAAATTAGCTCTCTTATCAGTATTTATTGCATAATAGTGTTTGAAACATCTTTCAAATCATCTGTTGATAGCTGATTGTCTTTTCTTATTGATGAGATAAAAAA